GGCTAACTGCTGTGGGTGCTGGGAGCACAGTGACGGCTAACTGCTGTGGGTGCTGGGAGCGCAGTGATGGCTAACTGCTGTGGGTGCTGGGAACACAGTGATGGCTAACTGCTGTGGGTGCTGGGAACACAGTGACGGCTAACTGCTGTGAGTGCTAGGAGCACAGTGGCAGCTATCTGCTGTGGGTGCTGGGAACACAGTGGCGGCTACCCTCTCTATCTAGAATGGAAACTTTGTGGTGTCCCCATAGCGTGACCAGTCGAGCCCAAGCTGGGAGTGTGCGGCTCTAGGAACTGTGTCCCGTAGCCTCCCCCGCAGGTGCAGAGCTCTGCGGAGAAACAGCTGCTGCGCACCTGCAGCTTCCCTCTGGAGTGTGCAACAGCGTGCGTCTGACTGGTGTGGGAGCTAGCTTCTCCAGTATTCACTGCTACGCAAACTCTACAATTACATAGTTCAGTGTTTCCATTTGATTTTTAGAAATTACTGTGTATGTTCCTGTTTCTGGATTTTTCATTCTTTTCCTCAGTACAATCTGGCAATAGCAACCAACATGCAGACATACGGTGTCCTCTAGAGCTGCGCAAACTGTGGATATTAAGCTGGACGATATATATTGATAGAGAGCTGTCTATCTCTCTGTAGTTTTTGGCAGTGCGGGGTTTTGGACTTGGTGTCATGCTTGCTTGTCTTGCTCACTTAACTGACACTCTACTTCTCACGCTATGCCTCCAGCCTTGCTTTTTTTACTGGTTATTTTGGAGATGGAGTCCAGTGAACTTTTCTACCTGAGCTGGCCTCTCAACTGCCATCTTCTGGATCTCGATCTCCTGAGTAGTTAGGATTAGATTGAGCCATTAGCTCTCACCTTGAATGATATCTTTAAAGATGCTCCAAGAGGAAGGCATTCGGCTTGAATCCTGTTCTTTAATTAGTGGGTTGCCTCCTTCCCTCCATTACTGCTTTGTGATCACATTTTTGCATGTTTCCAATTTGACCTGGGAACATTGGCCAGGTGCCCTCGTCTGTGAGGGATAGCGCCCCTCCCAGGTGGCCACGGCGAGGTAGCCCAGACGCTGCTGCTGTGCCTGTCCTCTCTCCTGGAGGGTCATAGCAGCCTCCCGGGCTGTCCCTGCCCCCCCCAGGACCTCACTGCCCGTCTGACCTCCCAGACATCGAATACATCTAACCTTGCAGCGGCACCTGCGTCAGCAGTGTGACCAGCAGGGAGGTTTGCATTCCCTGGCTGGACCTGAGATGACAAGCCTCTGCTGGGGTGCCCTGGAGAGGGGTGGGGGAACCCAGGCCCTGTGCCTGTGGCCCCGCCCACAGGTGACAGGCCCCGCCCACAGGTGGCAGGCCCCGCCCACAGGTGGCAGGCCCCGCCCACAGGTGACAGGCCCCGCCCACAGGTGACAGGCCCCGCCCACAGGCAGCAAACTTTGCAACTTCTACTTCATTTCCACAGTCTTTGCAGCAGTTAAGTAGCATTAAAAATTTTAGCATATACTTAAAATTATTGAGTATTTTTTTTTCTTTGTCTTTTTTGTCGGTCATGGGGCTTGAACTCTGGGCCTGGGCGCTGTCCCTCAGCTCTTCAGCTCAAGGCTAGCACTCTACCACTTGAGACACAGCACCACTTCCGGCTTTTTTCTTTTAGCTTATATGGTGCTGAGGAATCGAACCCAGGGCATCATGCACGCAAGGCATGCACTCTACCACTGAGCCACCTTCCCAGCCCAATTATTTTTCATTAAGTTATATTTTGTGTATTCAATTACATGTTTGTATATGGAAATTACATAAATGGGAGCTACATGAGCTAACAGAAAAACCTTATGATCTAATAGAAAGTGAAAAATCAAGAAAATACAAGTTAGATCAATTATGTGTAAAAGATTTTAAGGAAATAGTTATTAGAATGTAAAAAAGTTTATAAAGTCAAGCTAGGTACTGGTGGCTCACGCCTGTAATCCTAGCTATTCAGGATGATGAGATCAGAGGATTGTGCTTCAAAGCCAGCCCGGGCAGGAGAGTCCATGAGACTCTTACCTCCAATAAACCACCAGAAAAAGAAAAGGCCCCACAACCAACAACAACCGCACCCTTCTCCCCCCCACACACACCAAAAAGAAGATATACAGTATCATTCAATAATTTGGGTGTGTGTATGTGTCGGTCCTGGGGCTGTCCTGAGTTATTGTGCTCAAGCTAGTGCTCTTCCACCCAGTCACAACTCCACTTGTAGCTTTTGGGTGGTTAATTGGAGATAAGAGTCTCATGTACTTTCCTGCCTGAGCTGGCTTCAAACCAGACCTCATCCTCTGGCGTAGGTAGGATTCCAGGCAGGTGGCTGCCTGGCTCAATAATGTTTTAAATGACATTTTTAAATGATGTAAATACACTTTGTATGCAGTGGGTTTGATGCTCTCATGTCCAAATGACCTTCCTGCACAGCCTGTCTCTCTGGATAGTCAGTGTTCCCTGACTCCCACCGCTTTTTTCTTCTTCTTACTGGTAGCAGGGCTGGAACTCCAGGCCTTGTGCTCTTGCCCAGTGCAGTTGATCATGGCTGGTGCTCCACCACTTGAGCCATGCCGCTAACCTCTGCACAGTACGTGTGATTGACGTTGGGCTTGTCTCAGTGCTGAGTGGCTCTGAGCAGTCCCGTGTGTGCGGGCGCACGGGGGGGGATGGGTGTGCACAGGCCCACTGAGCAGGCGGGCTCTGCGCAGGTGAGCGGCCGTTCCACTGCACGCTGTGCGAGAAGGCCTTCAACCAGAAGAGCGCGCTGCAGGTGCACATGAAGAAGCACACGGGAGAGCGGCCCTACCGCTGTGCCTACTGCGTCATGGGCTTCACGCAGAAGAGCAACATGAAGCTGCACATGAAGCGGGCGCACAGCTTCGTGGGTGAGCCCCTCCCCCAGCCCGCACCCCACCCTCCAAACCCACCCTCCTCCCCTCCCCACTCCCACAACATCCCCACCCCCTTGGGGACTTAGGATCTAGGGTGTCTGTGTCATGGGGAGGCCTGTGTTGCCTTCTCTGCTGCACAGTAGTTGTGCGTGCCTTACACACAGCTGCACCTTACACACAGTGCACCTTACACACCTGCACCTTACACACAGTGCACCTTACACACAGCTGCACCTTACACACAGCTGCACCTTACACACAGGACACCTTACACACAGCTGCACCTTACACACAGCTGCACCTTACACACAGCTGCACCCTACACACAGTGCACCTTACACACAGTGCACCTTACACACAGCTGCACCTTACACACAGCTGCACCTTACACACAGCTGCACCTTACACACAGTACACCTTATACACAGGACACCTTACACACAGCAGCACCTTACACACAGTACACCTTATACACAGCTGCACCTTACACATGGTATACCTTACACACAGTACACCTTACACACAGTACACCTTACACACAGGACACCTT